CCGATCTGTTGCAGGTGAGTAGCAGCTGTGCACCATAGAGAGGCCCGTACAGTTTGCCGCAGTCCTCGCCACTCTCTATCGCCTAGCCCTGGCTCCCGTGCTCATCCTACTAATCCCAGTGGCTCTTTGATTCTGCCAGACTTTGGATGGTGTGCCTTCCAGCACTTAGGTGCTGGGTTCTTGGGCAAGTAGATCGACTTCCAACACCTCCTTAGTGTGTCTGGACCTGTAGTAAGCCGCTACATGTCAGTGACATGCCAAGTGGCACACTCATGTGTGCAAGTAACTCCTAGGGGCCAACAGAAAATCAAACTAAATGAGACGCCCCATCCGGACACTAAGAATCTGGGATTCTATGAATAGGTGGAAGGCAGAAAAGAAGGAAAGTAGAGGTGGAGGGAAGATGTAACTGGAAGCTTGGTGGTGAGACCAGGTGGCGAATACAGCTGCCTTTTAATATCTCACAATCTCCGTGATGGTTCTGTTTGTAGATATGAGTGCACCATTTAGCTAAACCATTCCAAAATGTACAGGCTTAAAACAACCACCACTCACGGGTACCTGGGTGGCTCAGTTGGTTAAGCCAGGTCATGATCCCGGAGTCCTGGGATTGAGCCCCACACGGGGCTCCCTGCTCAGCTGGGAGCCTGCTTCTCCCTCTCCCTCTGCTCCTCCCAATGTTGCTCACTCATGCTCTCTCTCTTTCTCTTTCTCTCTCTCTCTCAAATAAATAAATAATCTTTAAAAAAACACAATAGCCACTTATTTAGCTCAACATTAAGCAGGTCAGTAATTTAGGTTGCGCTTAGCTGGAAAGTTCTTCTGGTCTCAGCAGGCTGGAGGCTGATTTTGGCTGGGTTGTTCACAAATCAGAGAGACAGGTCAGTGGGGGGCTGGCTGGACTAGGATGGCACATCTCACATGTCTGAGGTTGGCTGGTGGTCGGCTAGGACAATGGTGGGGACCAAGCCATGTGTCTCTCATTGTCCAGCAGACCTGCTGGGCAGGGTTTCAAGGAAGTGAACAGAAGCATGCAATACTTCTTGAGACCAAGGCCTAGAATTTTTCTACTGTCAATTCTATATGTGCTGTTGGCCAGAGCAAGTCATGAGGCAAGCTCAGATTCAAGTGGAGAGGAAACCATCTCCATCTCTGGTAGGAGAGCTACAAGGTCACCTTGTGAAGACTGTCAGTATAGGAAGACATGTATGATACAGCTATTTTCATCATTGATCTACCACAAATAGAAAACATATAAGTAGCCTAAATAAGATACACTTTTATTTTTCTCTCATATAGAGAAGTCCAGAAACAATAGGGCAGCTTCTTAAAGTCCTCAGTGGTTCAGCTTTCGTCTTTCTGCTCTGCCAATTCCATGCAGCTTTTACCCTCTAGGTTGCCTGTGTTCCAAAATGGCCATTGGCGCTTCAGCCATCAAGTCTTCATTCCAGACAGGAAGCAGAAAGAATTAGGGTTAAAAAAAAGAAAGAAAGAAAGAATTGGGGTAGAAAGGAGAGATGATGCACTAAAGAGCGTACTTTCCCACCCAACAACTTTCATCCACATCTCCTTGGTCAACACTAGCTATAAAGGGGGGGAAGACAAGTGGTTTGTGAGTTGGAAACTTTGCCACCTGGGTAAAATCAGTTTTCTTGGGATCCCTGGGTGGCGCAGCGGTTTGGCGCCTGCCTTTGGCCCCGGGCGCGATCCTGGAGACCCGGGATCGAATCCCACATCAGGCTCCCAGTGCATGGAGCCTGCTTCTCCCTCTGCCTGTGTCTCTGCCTCTCTCTCTCTCTCTGTGACTATCATAAATAAATAAAAATTTAAAAAAAAAATCAGTTTTCTTTTAGAAAAAAAGATATGGAGAATAAATACTAGGAAGGAAGTTAGCAGCATCTGCCAAAGAGAAGAGAGGGGAAGACATGCTAAAAGGAGCTAGAGCCACAAACTTCCCCTCCTCAGCATTTTACCTAACTCTCTAGAGGGCAATAAAGAACTTTTTTTCAATTATTTTATTTGTGAAATTGTATTTCCCATATCAAAGTGTGGATTAAATATATATGTGCATTTGTTAAAGAGCATAAACATCCACGTACCCAACAGGTAGGAAAGAATGATCTGTCACTACCCCATCAATAGAGCCCACAGACCCAGGACTATCCTCAGATCATCCCTCTGGAAGGGAGGATACCCCAACATAGCAAGTCTCCCCCAGCACCTCCCGTACCCCCAGCTGAGAAGCCCAGGAAGGGCCCCAGGCCCAAGCAGGGTCTGACTCATATCCAGGTGGTGCCTGCAGGGAAAACCTGGTGGCACTGCCATGCTCTGGGCAGGAGGCGACTCCTCTCCACCACTGGCCTCCCAGACGTGCCAGGTTCAACTGCATCCCCATCTCTCACAACAAGACTTGCTGACTCCAGATGAGCCCTCCCAGGGCCCTAAAGAGGACCATAAATGTCAGGAAACGCTGCCCTCAGAAGGAGGTGATGGAACATAAAATGCAGACAGGGCCGCTCAGGTCCCGTCACCATGACTTCCAGGCTGGGAGCGATTTCCTCCGACCTCTTCATCGTCATGACACCTCAGACAAGGGGCTGGACCCAGATCAGGGGACAGAAGGGCCTGGGAGCCGCAGCCTCAGTGTCAGCATCTGGGCAAGCAGACCAGAGTCAGAGCCAAGCTGCAGCTCCCTGGAGGGTGTTCTTCCCCCAGCCCAAGGAAGAGCAAAGCCCGTTCCATTTTTCATCCAACAGGGATTGAGCGGACACCCACTGGAGCCCACTTCCTCTGCCAAACTCATGTGGCCACCTCCGGGCACAGTGCTCTTAGCTGCCATCAGGCAGAAGGGATCTGAGCCAGCAAGGGCCACCAAGAATTCTATGGCGTAGGGGCACCTGGGTGGCTCAGCAGTTGAGCGTCTGCCTTTGGCTCAGGTCGTGATCCTGGGGTCCTGGGATCGAGTCCCGCATCGGGCTTCCCGCCAGGATCCTGCTTCTCCCTCTGCCTATGTCTCTGCCTCTGTGTGTGTGTGTGTGTGTGTGTGTGTGTGTGTGTGTGTTCCTCATGCATGAATAAATAAATAAAATCTTTAAAAAAAAAAAAGAATTCTATGGCATAGCCTAGCCCACGTGGAAGGAATACTCTGTGTCAGGATCCCCACACATACCTAGAGATGTAAGGGTGTGCTGTGCGGGGGCTTCAAAGCTGTTTCATCAAGTGTGTCCCTCATATTTGGCTCCTGCCAAGTATTTCATTTGAAGAAAGGGCTCCCAGTTATGAAGGAATGAATGAGTGGGTGAGCGCACGGTTGACAGCCAGATGCCAGAAGAGCGCTGTTGATCACTCCGCAAACACTAACTAGGTGGTGCCTGCGTGAGCAGGTTCGTGGGCAGGGGCAGGGGTTCAGAGGGGGAGAGACCAGCCGTGCCCACCATCCCTGGGTAAGGCAGTTCAACGAGCCAGAGAACAAGTCCATTAGAGATTAGAAAGTAATATAACGGACCCTGCCCCCGTCATCTCCCGTCTACCGAGCCAGGTTGTCCCATCCTCCCTGGTCTCATGCTCGCACCCTATCACCCCACGAGCTGCCCTGAATTCCTTCCCCAGAGGTGGGCCTGACTGCCACTCAGTAGCAATGACACCCATTCCTTGCTGGTGATCGGGCCAGATGTGGGCCACCAAAGCCAGAATAGATGTTCCTGGGGGCTTCTGGACCATGGTTCCTTTTCCTTCCAGAGGATAATAATCAGCTTTACACTCTGAGGAGACTGAGGCACAGAGAGGGTAAGCAACATACCCAAGGTGACACAGTTATTAGAGTTGGGACATCCAGGCAAGCCCCTGGCCCCAGTGTCCAGAATCTCAAATATTCTGCTCTAAATCCCGACCATCAGGGAACCTGGGTGGCTCAGTGATTGAGCATCTGCCTTGGACTCAGGTCACGATCCCAGGGTCCTGGGATCGAGTCCCATATTGGGCTCCTCACAGGGAGCCTGCTTCTCCCTGTGCCTATGTCTCTGCCTCTCTCTCTGTGTCTCTCATGAATAAATAAATAAAATCTGAAAAATAAAATAAATCCTGACTGTCATGTCACCTGGGGGCAAATTATTTAACTCACCCAGCCTCTGTCTTCTCAACTGCAAAATGGAGCTATGAAGCCCTACAGACAGAGCAGAGACCTGAGCAACAGGATTGTGAATCTTCTGTGCGTGTTCAATGGGGTTCCCTAGTCTTTCTCCCTGAAGGAGGCAGTCTCAGGAAATGGGTGGGTTCTCTGGGGTCCACAGGCCTGAGTCTACATCCCTGTTTGACCACTTCCTTCCTAAACGGCTTTGGGCGAGTATTTGAATTCACAGAACCTCAGTTTACTCAGCTGCAAAATGTGGAGCAAATGGAATCCACCTCACAGGGTAACTGAGCAGGTGTCTCACTCCTTGAGCACACATGGTTGGCTGCAGGGTGGGGCAGGCTGGGCATCTAGGAACCCAGAATCTCTCCCAGGGGCTTTCAGGGGCAGAGGAAGCTATGGGAGCACGCACCCCAGGAGAGCATGCAGCGAGAGCCCTGGGAACTCCACAAGGGGCAGAGGGGATGGCCCCTGCCAGGAGCAGCCAAGGAAGCGGGCGGGTGGGCGGGCGGGCAGGGCCAGCCTCCTCAAATGCCACAGAGAAGGCGACTGAGATAAGAACCCCCAAGTGCCCGCCAGATCTGGCAATTAGGAGGTCATCAGTGACCTTGGCAGTGGCTGTGGGGGCAGCGGGAGGACAGGAGGCAGGCGTGGAGGGAGTGGAAGCTGGCAAGGCAGGAAAAGCCCTCCCACGAGAGAAGATAACGAGTAACACCAAACAGCCTCGATAAGGCAGCGGACTGCGTGGGCCACCAAGTTCTCAGGCTCACGGGCTCAGAGGCGGTGGCCAAACCCCACCCTGACCACAAGGAGGACATCCCAAACCCTGCAAAGGTAGGAACAGAGACTTCCAAGGACACACAGGTCTCACCTCTCAAGTCACCAGGGAATCACTTGGAAGCATGATCTTCCGGAGACCTGGGGCACGTCTTGCTCTAACTGTGATGGTGCAAGTTACTGCAGACACTTGGGAAGACAGATGCGGCCGTACGTCCCCGATGGATGCAGGCGCGGATGGATGGATGGATGGATGGATGGATGGATGGATGGATGGAGTCCTAAGGATGGATGAACATTGTACTATTTCAAAACCTAAACCTAGCTAAATCTAGGGCTGCCCCCACCCCCACCAATTTAATTTTACTCACTTCCAGGTCCCTGACTTGAACTAACAAAATAAAGTTGCCCCATGTGCCAAGTGTCGACACACTGCTGGGCTGATTTAGAATGAGTGGAGTGTAAAGACATTACTTTTGGGTCTGTGAATCAGGAATGACGAAGCCACCCCCGTACCCCCCGCCCAGCGCAGTGGTCCTGGTAGACCCTCATGGAGCACCGGGGACAGGGCCCAGCAATACGGTAGGTGCTCAGTTAACGCGGGTTCTTATGTTTCTTTTTAGTCAAAATCATTACCCATTTCAGGGAGTCCTAACCAAGAGGTTTTCCTAGAGCTCATATCTTGACAGGCATTCTGGGAGAAACATTGACCAACCATGACAGCATCGGCCTCTCCCAAGGACCCCAGCAAGCCCCCAGATTCTTGCCATTCAAGAAAAAAGGGGTCACTCCAGATCTGACCTGCTGCTGGCCAGGAGAGCTGCCTCCTCCTTCCCCAGGCCCATGGCACGGCATCCCTGCAGCCTGAAGGACTGGATCCAGCGCTGGCTCTCCTCTTACCCAGCTGTGTGACCTTAGACCAATGACTTAACCTCTCAGAACCCCATTCCTCTCACCTGTGAAATGGGAGCAATCATGGGACACAGGCGCAAGGATGGCTGTGAGGATCACATGAAAAATCAGTGCAAAGCATTTAGCTCTGCACCCATACGGTGAGAATTTAATAAATGGTAAGGCAGTGATAATCATCTTTGTTTTCTAAAATAATAACAATTCTCCCTGGGTAGATGACTCAAAATTATACAGATGAAGTGGCCCTCGCGGTCATGGTGAGACAGGGCAGAGGTTCTCATTCAGGTGACGTCCATAAGGAAATGCACTGATCAGAAAGGGTAAGAGACTGGCCTGAGGTCACACAGCAAGAGGCTGACACCAGGAAGATGGCTCCAGCTGCTGCCCAGGCACCTTCCCAGGGCCCCTCCTGAAACCTAGCAAGACATCCTTTCTGATTGCCCTGGGCCAGGCCCTGCTCATCTTTGTCCTATCTTCCCCTCCCCCTTCTCCCGGCTAACATGATTTCATTCAGCCCCAAACGTGTGAGAAGCTTGGGCTGATGCATAATTCATGACGCCAATTTGCATTCTCTCCACCAGGCCTTCAGCCTCCTCCCCCACCGCCCCCAGCCCAGCCCAGCCGCTCCTCCCAGATCTAGCATCTGCGTTCCCAATGACATTTTTCTAGCAGCAGTGGTCTGTAAGCCCCATCCTAGAGCTGGAAATGCTTCGTGAATCACAAGGCAGCTCCTTCTCCCGTGGACCTTGTCAAAGCAATTCTGGGGGCCTGTCCTTGGAGATCACAGGTCAGGCCTCCTTCTGGACCCCCTGTCGGGCAGGTGGGGCAGTAGGGAAGTATGAACACAGCATTTCCAAGTAAGCCCCTGGTGGTGGGCGGGGGTGGAGGGCTTCTTCTCATCTTCCCCCTGCAGCAGGCACACACATTTCATTTTGGCCCATTCTCCAGGGTGTTCAAGTCAGGTTCACTGAACCCCAGCCATTGTCAGAGCTTGTCCTCAGATGAGAAGATGAGTCCGGTTGAGTTCAAACTCCACACTCCCTCTGTGGCCAGGACTTAGGGCCCCCAGGCTTCTGCAGAAGACCGGCGGAGGCCTGGGGAGGATGAGGCCTTGACTGTGGTCAGGATGGGGGTGGAGGAGAAGGATATAGTCGGGGGTGGGTGACAGACACCCCAGAACTGCCTGATGGGAGCCACAGAAAGGTCCAGTGTAGAGACCTGTGAGGCTAGACTCCCCGCAGGGCCTAGGCCCAAGGCCCTCCTAGGTGGGGCCCCCAGAATCAGGCATCAGGCCATGGTGGCACCCTCTAGGATATTAGGGAGGCCTGGAAAGGCCCACATGGCCTTGGCCACTTTAAGAGTACCCTAATGTGGCAGGTGCTGGGGAAGGCCAGACTGCCCAGTGCAGGAAGAGCTTCTGGGGATGAGGGCCTTGTCAGCCCAATGTCTCTACTGCTGTGGTGGTACACAGTAGGTGCTCAGCCCCCAAAATGCTTCAGTGACCATGGTCTACTCCAAACCAGGGTTATCCCGTGGAGCAGCAGTCCTCGATGGCTCACTCTACTTTGCACGTGGGAAAAACCGGTTCCAGGAGGTGATGTGATCCATCCAAAGTCACACAACTGGGGAAGGGCAGTGTGGCCCTCTGCCCCACCCAGGGCATCAGGGAAAGGAGGAAGGGTTGGCTTCACTGGTCCTAGCAGAGGAGAGCCCCTCCCACCAGCCCTGTGCCAAGGCCAGGCTCCGTCTGTCCAGACCCGGCTGCCAGGGAGCACGGGAGGGGAGAGATGGTTCACTCCACCTCATCAGGCCTTATCAGCTGGTAGACGTGATGAGGTCAGCGTGTGGCTCCTCGCCCTTCACCTCAGCCCTGCCCTCCTGCACCCCTCTGTTGTGTCTCCCAGGGGTGAGTAGACTCAACTGGCTATCTTGCCATCTTTAGGCCCAGGCTGGGGAGTCCCGGATGAACTCATTTTTGGGCTCCTCCAGCCTTGGGGAGCCACAAGAAGTGAGGGGCCTTGAGGCTTGCCTCCAGAGGCCCCGGGAGCCCAGTGCCCTTTCTAGACATGGCTCTTCAGAGTGCTTGTTTCACCCAACTTGACCCTGGTCCAGAGGACTTCCTTCCCTTGGCACTAATGGGTAAAATGAGGCACAGATTGATGATGTCTCTTTGCAAGCTCCAGGAAAAAGGGGAGCCCCCAGGGCACATAGTGTGTTTCCTGATTACCTGCTGTTCTTTTCATTACCTCATGGAATCCTCACAATGATCCCCTGCACTGGGTGCTCTTGTCCCATTTCTACAGATGGAAAAGCTGAGCTGGAAAAGTGAAGTTGTTTGCCCTTCGTCGAAACGCTGGATGCATGAATGGTAGAGCTGGATATCCAGGCCTGGCTAGCTCAGCAGTGTGACTTTGATCCTGTCACAGCCTGCGGCGCCTCAGGGTGGCCTGGCAGTTCATGCTGTGAGCCCGGAGCCCAGTGCAAACCCTTGGCTGTGTGACGGGGCCACATTCCAGTTTGCCCATCTGTGACCTGGGGTCGTGACCACAACTGCCTCACAGGCTGCCAGGGGATCATGCCTGTAAGATGCTCAGGGTGGGACAGCACACCCAGAGGTGCTCAGTACACGTCCGCTCCAGCTGTCTGTCACGTTACTATTACTGAGAAGAGGGAATGACCAGAGTTTGGAACATCTAAAACCTTATAGCCCAGTGGTTCTGAAACTTCGGAGCGTCAGCATCTCCTAGAGGGCTGTGCTGCCCCCAGTCCCTGATTCAGGGGGTCTGGGGCAGGGCCGAAGGATCTGCATTTGTAAAAATTCCAGGTGAGGTTGAAGCTGCTGGTCTGAGGTCCACACTCTGAGGACACAGCGTTGAGCCTGACATTTTAAAAATTCACAAGACCCATTGATGGGCGGGAAAATCTCGCTGCCGGGCTCAGGGGGACAGCTTTGGGTAGATCCCTAGAGGCCCAGAAGCAGGAGAGCACAATTAAGTCCATAATTGTGCTGTAATTGTTGAGCATTTACTAGCCTTATCTCTCTGAACTGTAATCGTCCCCTGTCCCCAGATGTCAGCTAGAGTAATGCCAGGTGGCTCTTGTGGGTGGTGTTTGCTCTTGGGCCAGAGCCTTGGGTGGCAGGTCACAGCCAATTCTCTGCCCTCTCCCCTCCCCCCGCACAGCCAGGCGCACAGGTAGCCAACCGAATGTAGCTGTTTCTCGAATGAAGTGCTGACTCTGGCAGCCGCTTCCCCTAGTACCCACGGAAGCCCTCCATCAGCTGGGAAGAGGTATGGACCATCTCCACGGTACAGAGGAAGCACCAAGGCTCAGAGAGGCCAATCAGTTTGCCCAAGGCCACACAGCCAAAAAGGGACCAGCCTGGTCACAACCCCATAGCGCTTTTCCAGCTACTCCCTGGTCATCCTTGGGACATCAGCTCACATTTCTCAGGGCCCTCCCAGACCAGGTCTGAGGCCCCCCTGCATGAGCTCCCTTTCTCCATCATGACACTGACCACCTCTGCAATTAACTCACTCTGCTTCTGGGGTGCCTGGGTGGCTCAGTCGGTTAAGCAGGTGGCTCTTGATCTCAGTTCAGGTCTTAGGGTCAAGTCTTGAGCTGAAGGTTGTGAGTTCAAGCCTCATGTTGGGCTCCTACTTAAAAAACAAAACAACAAACGAAACAAAACACTCCGCTTCTGTTTGAGAGTTTTAGCCTCTCTCCTGCTAGAGGGCCAGCTCCATGAAGGCAGGAGCTGTGTCTCTTATTCCTTACCAAGCTCAGCTTGACATATTGCCTGGCACAAACTGAGCTCTCCCTAAGCATTTATTTCATGAATAATTGCTGAACCAGGCAATGTGACAGAGCTGCCCGGAACAGCTGGCTCAAGTAGCAGGCCCTCTAGAAGTGGGGATTCTGAGTTCTTGCTTCCCCCTTGTGTACCTTTTCAGGTAGGCCCCAGGAGCCCAGGGGAGCTGTCTCTCATTCTCCAGGACTTCCTGCTCCGGCCAGCCCCAAAGCACTCTGGCACGTCCCTAGAGCCCATAGCCCACTCTGAGCTAACTCTCATTGCTGGGTCCCTGCGTCCACCTCAGTTTGCCCCAGGGGATGGAAACACCCGAGTGGGACCTGCCCCCGGCCTCTGGCATGGACCTTGGTGCTTTTCAAAGCACTTATCATACAACAGTGATGGCAGGATGCCTCCCCATCTAAGATTGAGGTTCAGCCAACCTTGCTTTCCACACCCGTGACATGGGATGATGACCCATGACTCAGTCTGCCTTATGGCAGTCTTGAGGCCTCGAGAAATTATGTACCTGGGCTTGTAGGATGACCAGTTGTCCTGCTTTGCATAGGCCTGAGGTATTTGCTGGAGCAGTCCCAGGCAAGGAGGAACAGTTGGCCATGAGAAGTTTGATGAGCACTAGACACGTGTGTTTTAGCTCTCAGGTTGAGGGGATTGGCCCCTAAGATGGCCCAGTAAGTCAAGGCTGAAAGTGACAAAGCCACCAATCGTCACCCCTGTCTCTTGGGCCTGTTCACCTGCCAGACGCTTCTGACACCTACTCTCCATGGCTCTGGCAGAGGGTCTGTACACGGCTGGGGAGTGGGGAGCTCACCAGGTAGAAAGAACTCCACAAAGGGAGGTTCAGCAAACCGAGGGGCTGGGTGGGCTGCCCCTCCGCCTGGCTCCCTGTCTCACCTGCCCTTCCCCTTACAGCATTTTCCTCCAACCCAACATAATCAAGTTCAAAATCAATATTACTGCTAAACCCAGTTGCCCGCCATGGTGCAACCACTGTGCAGCAGGTTAGTAGAAGGAATGGCTCCCTCTGCTTGGTGGGCTTGGGGAAGGCACCAGGCACCCCTCCAGAAGGGACCAACACCAAGTTTAGGATCAGTGCACTCTGGGAACCCTGAAGGGTCTTCAGGTGAGTCAACCCCTGGATACTGCAAGGCACGGCTCTCCAAAAGCCAAGCCAGCCAGTTCGGCCAAACAGGCCAGGGGACCAGAAGAAGAGGCGGCTGAGAGGGCTCAGGTTTCCTGGGACTCCGGCATTCCTCAGGCCTGGATTCAAACCCAGGCTCAGCCACCTACTGATCAGTGTCCCTGGGCAAGTAGCTTCACCTCTCTGAACCCGCTTTCTCACCTGCTCATCTTTCGAGAATAGCCTTCCACATGCCTGGCACCAGGCTGGACATAGATAGGATGTGAAGTACATCACTTGATCCTCATTGCGACCATGCAAGGATGCTACGGAGAGGTAAAATAGCAAACAGGGTGGAGGTCACAGGCTGAGAAGTCAGAGCTAAGGCACAGAGGACAATAGCTGGCACACGGCGCTTTTGCACCAACCGGTAAAAGCATGTGCTTCACCTATGACACAAAGCAGGAAAATCAATGAACACAGGTTTCTTTCCTTTCAACTTTTTATTTCTGAAACCCCAGTGCCAGGTAAGCGTCAGCATATAGGAAGTGCTCAGTAAAGGTTTCTGGAATGAATGAATGCACTGTTCCCTCCCGTGAGTGCCCACAGCAGACACGAACACACCATGAAACAAGCCCCTTCCCAAGGACAACTTATTGGGGTCTGGTTCTGTGGGCACCAAAGTCTGAGTACCCGTGTGCATCCCCAACAGCACTCAGAGACTTCTGGCACAAGATTGGACATATCACCTACTGGAAGGTAGGTGAATCCACGATGGGTTGATGGCATTAGGGACTTTAGGGTGGCTGCCCCAACTGGCTCCTTGCTCTAGTCCCATGGACCCATACTCCCCACCCTCCCTGCTCACCCAGGACACTGGCCTTTGCTCTGAATTGCTGGCTTTCCACCTGGCTACACGACACTCCAGCCCACCCCTGCTTTTGCTGCCTGCTTACTTTTCTGGATTAGCATTGGTCAGGATTAGGCAGGGCAGCCACCAGCCCAGCCTCTCATCTCTACAAACCAGCCCCTGGGTGGAGTTCCAAGGGCAGAAGCCACCCCTAGGGTAGGCTCAGTGGGTCCTAGGGTTGGTGGGAAACTTCAGTCTTCCCAAAGAATGCACACCTTCTGGAACATCTTGAAGTGGATCTGCCTGCAGTAGGAGCCACAGCCATGCTGCCAGCCGGGCTTGTATGTGTGTTCACCAACCAGACTGAAAAACAAGAGGCTCAGTGGCCAGTGCAGAGCCCCGGGCCAAGCTCGTTCTCTGGGTCTGGACCAGAAGGCAGTCTTGGGCCCGAGGGCTGGTCCAGCCCCAAGGCGCTCTGTGGGGGACAGTCGAGGACTGGGAGCTGGAAGTGCCAGAAGTTAAGAGGTCTTAGTCATCTGCCTCCTTGGGGGTGCAGAGGCCAGTCGTCTCCCAGACTGACACCCCCTTCCACCATCTCTTCCTTCTAGCCCACATAGGCTCTGCAAACCCCCTGCTTTCTGCAGCCCACCTACTCCTTACCTCTCTCCACCTCAGGCTGCTTTCTCCATGCCCTGTGCCAGCCTGAAAACCCACCCACATGGCTTTCTGTTGCTTTCCAGATTAAATCTAGAGGCTACGACTGAGGGTAGCTGTGTGACCTTGGGCAAGTCACTTAACCTCTCTGAGCCTTGTTTTTCTCAAATGTCAGTGGTAGTAAGTACACATGAGAGCACATGTGTTTCCTGGGCCAATATTCTTTCCTGCCCCCTCTTTCTCTTTGGCTGGATATTGGAGGTCAACATTAACCCCCTAGCTCCACCTCTAACTTCTTCCCAATGTGGAGCCTTGGATCATGCTAGGCCAATTTCCTGACTCTTCCCTACTAATACCAAACAACACCCACCCCTCCTTCTGGAGCCCATCTCCTGTCTCTCTGGTTACATACCCTGCCATCCGTCACGCCAGGCCCCAAGGCTAGTCCCAGCTTGACCCCAGGAGCCACCCCCACCACCCCAAATCCTGGTCATCCATCCTCCCTGGCCCCCACTGCCAGGACAGTCACAGCCCAGTCTCACCATTCCTCAAAGCAGCGCACAGGAGTCTGTGATGTTTTCTCTGGGACTCTTCTTGGACTGCCAGCTGCTGGAAGGCAGGGAAGGCAGGGAAGCATTTTCTGCTTCTCCCATAGAAGCCCTGGGCTGTACACTCAGCAGGCACATTGCTGTCCTGACATACCTCATCCCCAACCACCACCCACGTCAAGGTGCCCTCCCAGACCCAGGGCCCCATAATCGTAAGGAAAATGATCATTTGTTGCCAGCCCACCATGAGTCAGGCATTTTACAAACACTGACTTGCTTAATCCTCACTGCTCTGCATGTAAGTACTTATTAGCCCATTTTACAGACATGCAAACTAAGGCTCAGGGAGCTGGGGTAAGAAGTGAGAGTCCTCAGCAAAGTACAGCATGGTTGCATGCAAGCTCAGGTCTGTCTGGTTCTGCTATCTCCACTGCACAGCTGGTAATGCACAGAACAGTGCCCTGCAGCGCACCCTGGCAGGATAGCCCTTGGGTGCCCAGACAGCGGTTCCCCAAGGGAGACAAAGAAATGGGCTCTTGGCTGGACTGAGGCTCTTCTGGTCTTAGGGCTCTTGCCATGAAGTTTCGTTGCTCTGCCTGTAAGCAGGGTGAGGCCAGACCTGCTAAGCCCTGGGAGAGTACAAGTAAGGTGAGGCCCAGAGGAAAGCCTGGGCTGGAGGCAATCCCACCAGAGATGAAGTGGGAGAGACACAGAGGTTGCCTGGATGACACCTGGAAAGAGCAAAGGGAACCACCAGTACAGACGTGCTAAGGCTAGAGGCCACCAGCCTGGGAAGTGTGGGGGTTGAAAGGGAGTGTGTGCATGTGGAGACAGGGTCGGAGGGCGGGGGGGGATGCCCGAATGTGGAGCAGGGGGCAGAGGCCAGCCTGATGGTGGCGGCCTGGCTGGGAGCCCTGGAGGCTGTGCACTAGACTTCACTCTCATTTTACAAGTTCCCTTCAATCACAGGGAGGAGGCTGGTGCAGAGGACCAGGGAACAAGGGAGCCCTGCCAGGAGGTGTGGGGGGTGGTGACGGTGGCCTGTAGTGAGGCACTGGCCTGGGGACAAGGAGAAGCAGACAAGATGATTCCAGAACTGGAATTAATGGTCCTGGTTGGTGGACTGGGTGTGGGGCAGGTGGCAAAGGGAGTCAGGGTGAGGCCCAGATTCCTAGCACAAGTGATGGAGGGATGGAGGCAATGATACTTATTGAGAAGACTGGGGACAGAGGACAATTGAGAAATCTGGTTGACCCTGTTGAGTTTGGGGTTCCTAGAAGACACCTGAGTGGTGATGTCAGGGTGGCAACTCGGGAGAGGCTGGGATGCACCACACTGGGCCTGGAGGGCTCACTTTGGGTGTCCCTACAGCAAGGACAGGGCTGAGGACCATGCCCCACCAGAGGGTGGAAGGGTGAGGAATGAGCTGCAAAGGACTGTGATGAAGCAAAATGGAGACAAAGAAGCAGCCACCAGGCCTGGCAGCCTTGCCATAGGGTGTCTGCCTTGAGCAGATTGAGAGGGATAGAGCACAGAAGTCAGGCTGGAGAGGACACAAGCCCATTTGGAGCAGCTCGGTCTGGACAGGACATGGCAGAGGGTGTGTGGTTAGACGTCGCTAGATCCTGTCCCGGGATGGTAGGCCAGGAGAGGGGCCAGATAGCACAAAGTCCTCAAGAAGTCAGGAGGGCCGGGGCCTGGGGCTCAACAGGAAGCGTCAGCCTGGAAGAGCACGGCCTCTTCCCCCCTTGCAGCAGAACGTGGAAGATGCAAGTGTATTAGTTGGGGTTTGAGAAGAGAAAAGTGGGGGTACCCCTGTGCAGTGGCTCCTATTTTCTCAGGGTGAGGTATGGTGAGGGCATCACATGGGGTGAGGAGCACTGGAGGCAGAGGGGATGTGAGGAGCAGCCTCCGCACGGTGCCAAGGCCCAGGAGGGGCTCCCAGGACGTGGGCGTCCCCCTGCCCACCATGCAGCCTCAGGAGCAGCTGGAACAGACCAGCTTCTGGGATCCTGCAAGGTGACAGGGGCTGGGCAGGGGTATGGCCGCACAGAGCAGGAGAGAGGAGTGTCTGCAGGACAGCATCCCCACTCCCCGTCCTAGGGGCCCACCGCTGGGGGTGCGGGTGGGACTAGAGCTGCACCCAAGGAGACCTGTCCTCCCCCTCACACCCCTGTTCCAAGCAGAAGCAGGGCCAGATATCATGGGGTCACGCCCTGGTGACACTGGGGAACGCAACCCCAGAGTGAAGAGAACAGGAAGGGAAAGAAACACACACGCCAGGTACTACACCAGGTAGGGCACAAACAAATCCCCTTTGGAGGGACATGCTAGGCCTCCATTTCACAGACAAGAGGACGGAGGCTCAGGGAGGCTGCATCAGCGTTGTGGTTCAAAACTTGGGCTCTGGTGGCAGTGGACTTGGGTTTAAACTCTGGCCCTAACCGGCTGGGTTTGGGACAAGTGACTTTACCAGCTGTGCCTCAGTTTCCTTACCTGGGAAGTAAAAGTACCAACCCCTCCCTGCTCTGTTTGCCACGCAGATCACAGAAAACTCTCCAAGCACAGTGCTACTCTGAGTGGGTGCCAGGCAGGGAGGACGCAGTGAGCATCAAAATGCCAGAGGCAGCGCCACACCTAGGTGAGCCCAGCCTGAAGGCCGCGTGCTGTCCTCCTGGGCTGCAAGGTGCAGCCTCCTGTAGGATGAGTCTTTCCAAGATGCCATCTCTTTGTGTTGGTTTATTTTTAAGCCAGCGAAGCGGGCATGGGGGAGAAAGGCAGAGGCCATGGAGGAGACAAGGGAAAGGGAGGGAGCCCCCAGCTGCGTGATAGAGCAGAGGGATTGGGGCGGCCACAGGGCAGAGGGGAGATTAGAGCCCGGGGCAGGAAGGAATGCCAAGGTCACTGGGATCAGGCAGCTGGAGCCACCGAGACCGCCAGAGACCCAGATCACCACCTGGCCTTCTCGGCTGAGTCACTCCTAAGTGCTATGACTGGGAGGAGGTGCCCCAGAAACCCCCTCGCCCCTCACCCCTCAGGAAAGCCGCTTCGGGGGTCCTAACCAGCTGTTCCCAGTGCTTCACTGCACATAAGCCTGTTAGCGATAGAGCCTGGCCCCAAACTCACGTCTGGCCCCAAAGTCCAGGGTGTAACCACAGCTCTGGCACCCACACCAGCCAGAGCCCTCCTACCCTACACGTGCATCCTTAAGAAGATGCCCCAGGCCTGAGAGATTCTGGTCTCCCAGCCCCAGTGGGAGACTACAGCTCACACCTCCCTCCCCTGCCAAGGTGGAGTGCGGCGTAGGGTGTCGAGGGAGCTGTGGCTGGCTGGGGCATGGGCCAGTGGGAGGAGGGTCGCTGCAAGGGCTCAGGGGCTCCAGAAAAGGCTCTGAGACCCACTCAGTCCCAACGACTGATGTCTCAGATATTGCAAACTGAAGTTGACCAAGGTGGGGCCGGGCAGGAGGCAGGGGGTCCACTCGAGACACCACCCAGTAGCAGCTAGACAGAGAGGGAAGTGGGCTCTCTGGTCGCCTGGTCTGTTGGCCATGCCGAGCTGTTCCAGCCCTTCCATGTGAGCTGCAGGAAGGCTCTGGACACACTGTGCCCTGGTGGGCAGGGGTGAGAACCAGCACCGAGGCTGCCCAAAGCCACACAGCAATGAGGGAGGTAGCAGGGCTTTGGGGTCCCTGGGCAGAGGGCCAGGGCCGCTGCTTCTCATTCCATACCACCATTCCATTCAACCCAGGCACTGCCAGGAAGAGCTCAGGGGCCCCCCTTTTTAAAGATTTTATTTATTTATTCATGAGAGACACACAAAGAGAGGCAGAGACATAGGCAGGCTCCCGGTGAGAAGCCCAATGCGGGACTCGATCCCAGGACCCCAGGATCATGACCTGAGCCAAAGGCAGGTGCTCAACCACTGAGCCCCCCAGGTGCCCCGGGGCCTGCATTTTGAATGAGAAGCATGCACTTAGGGGACACCCAGTGTCTCAGCCCAGAAGGAAGCAATGAAGTCGATCGGGGGCACGGGTCCACGGCGGGTCAGTCAGGCTCTTTGGCAGAGCCCAGGGCTCAACCTATTCAGACAGACTCGTGAGCTGGCCCTCCAGCCCCTGGGGGTCTGGCAGGATGGCAAGAGGGCAGTGGAGCTGCTGCCAAGACCTGGGGCGAAGGAGAGCTCCAGCCTGCCCTGGCCAGCCCCCAGCAGCTTTGGAGAGCAAGAAGCCCCCAGCCAGCAAGACACAACAGCGATAAAGGGCTATCTGGGGTGGTGGGTGGGGCACGGGAGGGCGGCCAGCGCGCTGCCTCCGCAAGCTCCGGGCAGCCCCGTCTCACCAGCTCCCCAAGACGCCGGAGAGTTGGGGGGGCCTCTCTCTGGGGAGGCTGAGTCAGGGAGGAAGCAATCTAGGGCCTTCCCCTTTAGAAGTGGACACCCCCAAAATTGTGGTGGGGACACCATTATCCCAGATAAGCACTCCAAATTCTGGGCCCACCACCCAAGCTCCTTGACAGCAGGGGGGCATATGTCCTAGGTAGAGGAAGAGCTCCCCAGCCAAGAAGAAAGATGCTGCCTGATGTACGAGGCCATTAGCCCAAGTCCATCATCAGCCTCAGAATGTCTGGGGGAGGGTGGGGGCAGGGGTGGTACCATAGATAGCCTTCAAGCTGCCTCATCCCTCACAGACCCCCCTCCCCAGGGGCCTCCCAGCCCCTGAGGGGCCAAGCTCCATTCTGCCAAGCCCAACGACCATCAGCAAGTCACTTTGACCTTCTGTGCCTTGGACAAGAATGTGCCCTCTACAGGGTCTCTGTGGGGGTTCAATGGGACTACAGGATGCGTCAAGGGCTGCCTGCTTTTTTACCTCCGTGGCAGTTCTCTGTCCCCCACTGTCAGGCCTCCCCCCCCTCCCCCGCAGACTGATTTCTGACCACCTGCCCTACTGGCTGTTCTCTGCTAGGGACAAGTGGGTGCTGAGGCCCTGCGATCTTAGTGGACCCCAAGATAAGGTACAACTTCAGAAACCACACAGGCTCCACAGAGATGGGTCAGCTCCCTTCCAGGCCTCTGGGTGGGTGGGTGGGGTTTACACACAGGGGCTTTCTTCTACTCCAGTCCCATCTGGC